TAGTGGAAGGAAAATCTTTGCCAAATAAGAGCATCAAATTGTCAAAGGACTGCCGCTGTTACAATGTTGTTTGACCCTTAAAACCTAAGTTCATTCTGTTAACCGGGAGATTAGTCATGAATTTCTTTCTCCGCCTCTCCCTCCTTGCTTATCTTCCCTCCTTTGCTGGTGCTCCTTAGTTGGTGTCTCTCTCTCACTTTTTTCTCTCTTTTCTCCCCTTCCCCCTACTTCTGACTGAATGCCAGGCTCTGTGCTGGGCCCTGAGAGTCGCTGGTGGGGTATACAGGTCTGGTCCCCAACCCTGTTTAGCTTGCAGTCTCGTGGGGAAGACGTGGACGTTTGGAATGCTAGTGTGACAAACTCTACGATGGGGAAATACAGGGTGCACTGGGGGTCCAAAGGTAGGGACTGGGACCTGCGGGGCCAGTTTCCAAGTTGAGATCTGAATGGTGAAGATGAATTGGGGGAAGGGTGTGTCAGTGGGGAGCTTCCTGGTGGGAAGAGTGTAAATACCTGTAACGGAACAGGGAGTACATACTTGGTCTTTGTCCCCTTTCCTGGACCAGAGCTCCCGAAACACGGGATTTCCTGGTGATGGGGTGATAGGAGCATCTCTTGGTATTAACAAGCCCCTCTCAGTCACACATGAATTTATGCTAATGAAGTGACTCTAGGTGGGCCCCCATTAGCTTCATGATGGGCTGGCAGCCAGAGGAGCCAAGTACGTGATTAGAGGGTTTGTCCTTTCAGCCCCACCCTTTATGACTTGAAGCACTGTTAACCACACGGTAAGTATGAGGACATTTCTCTTTATAAAAGTCTATCAGCTTGTAACTGAAGAAGAAATGACAACATGAGAGGATCAGCATTTTGCAGTCTCTAATGGATCGAGCATTGATTATCATTGCTTTTTATCAGTGGATGTTTACATTTTTTATTTAACCCCAGGATTGTTTCACAGGTAACTCTTTAGTTAATTACATGTATGTTCACATTCTGATGGAAGCTCTAGGCAGGGATTTATAATGGTTGAATTAATAATCAGGCAGTGCTCCTGACTTACTCTGAGTCATTACTGAGAAATTGCATGCTCCTAATTACCTGTCTATAAAACAGATAATAGGTACCCACCTCTTAGAGTTCCTCAAGGTTTCTGCTTATTAAATCAAATGGTAGATAACTATTAAAATGGTTTGAAACTGTGAACTATCACTCACAGAATGTGTTTGAGAGATGCCAAGGATGTTTTAATTGGTGTCTGAGGGAAGCATGCTAAGCACCCAGACCTCTAGTTACCCTCGTTCCCAGTTTGCAGTGGGTAAAGCTGCCTCAGTGTCTGGAGACACTCCTGCTGTTACTGATGTTTTTCTTTACTAGACGTGGGTTTGATGTATGCATTCTAGATGGCGGAGACGAGAATGTTCAAGGAAACCCGTCTTGCTTCATGGTTTCCTAACAGTTGTAATCGAGCCTCCCAGGGGCTGGTTTGCAGTTTGCCCGCAGGGGTGTGGGGACTTCAGCTGCAGTTCCTCGGGCTGGAATTTCCTTCCTCTGTGGCCTATGCAGGCCCATCTCGCCTTCCAGCCTGTGCTAGGTTGGTTCTAGTTCTTCAACTTACGGAAGTTTTTCCTTCACTGGTATATAGAGGTTTTTTAAAGCACAGTGCTTTGGACGAACCAAGAGAAAAGCACAGTATATAAAATAGTTTTAAAAGTGATAAAACTGTAAAAATTCCTACTGGAGGCTACCTAGTAGGTTCCTTTCCAGGCAGTAATTTGTGGAGTGCTTTCGGGGGGACTGGTAGACGCTGAGTGCATGGGCCTGGTGCACTGAGGAAATCTGCGTGCGGGGGCAGCTGCCTCCGTGGTGTCCTCACCAGGTAAGCCTGTGAGTGAGGGGAGGGCCAAGCTCGGCACAACGGGTTGTGTAACACGTGGACGGCTTCTCCTGCCGACCTAATGGCTCACAGGAGAGGTTTTCTGAATCAGATAACTGAGCCGCCTTCAGGCAGTTCTGATCCAACTTGACAATAAATAGACAGTGTGTGCTGAGAAAAAAAATACGGATGGAAAGAGAGGAAAAAATGACTTAATATTTGTTATGTGGAGCTTGGAGGAGAGCCCCAGGAGTGTGTACTGTCTTAATTAACAGTGATAGACTTCAGTTCAAAGTACTTAGGTGAGGCTGTTTTTAAGTGTTAAAAGTTAACCTCGAGAGGCAAAACAGTGTGGGGTCCTGGGGAGCATGGGGTTTATACTCAGCACCACGTTCCCACTGTGTCCTCGGGCATATCAGTGTCTCACCTGTGCTGTGGAGCTGGTCGAGTTCCCTCAGCGGTGTGCTAACGATCGGATGGAATCATACTGTAGTTATCAAATCTCAGATACAATGGATTACGACACACCCTTACTTCTGTGCCATTAAAAAAGAGGAAACTCTGCCAATGAAAACCAACTTTTCGAGTATAAGATACACCTGAACATTCAGGATGTTAAAATGCAGTGGACAAACTGCATTTTAAAAATAAAAGACAATACAGTGGCTATGAAAGTGCTTTGCTGTAAGGAGCCTCAGGAGTCATATTTACTTTTTATTGCATGAGCCAGGGGAGGAAAACAAAGTTATAAGAATAAGAACCAGTGGGACACAGAAACCGAGCTGAATGAGAGAACAGGTAGCCGAACGGAGGAGAAGGCAGTGATCTTTCTGGGTTGTCTTCATTCTTAGAAAGTTGGCTGTCGCACCTCACTTAGTTGAGAAATATGCCGTGTCTGTAGCTAAGGGATTCTTTCTCTCTCTGGAAGTTGACTTCCTCCAGATTGGCTTTTGAGAGGAGTCAGCAAGCCAGCAATGTGGGTTCAGTGAATGTATAGATTTTCCTGTTTTAGATATTGTTGGTTTAGAACTTGCAGATTCTTAACAACCTCGGTTTACTGTATTAGCTGTAAATGCAGAGGCTGAGCCCCACTTGTAACAATGTGGTTTCGGCATTGCTTTCACAAACAGACTTTTGTGTTGAGAAGGAACTTAGTCCTGTTTGCAGCTGGCTTTAGGCCTCTCTCCTCTTCACTGAAGTCGTTTATGCTCAGGAATGTGTCTTGCTCACGTAGGCGTTTGGATTCGTTTTTCTTTGCTTCAGGTATTATAGTTTCGTTGCAGAAAAACGGTGGCATCATTCATAACTTGTCTCCATGCCTTCCCCTTGGTGCATTTGAACACATAAGTAGCTGCAGATGAGGATTTTAAGGAAAAATTTATTTCTGACCTTATTGTGGTAATCATTTCCCAATACATATCTATATCAAATCATCACATCATACGCCTTCAACTGACATCATGTTATATGTCAGTTATAAGCTCAATAAAACGGGGGGGGGGGGATGTTTATTTCTTAGTAAAACACCAGTAGGTGAGACTCAGCAGTTTGCTCTACTAAAGAAGATGCTCAAAATAGCCCTAGTTGGATGAGATGTTTTCCAGGTAACTTTTTGTTGAAAGTGAGATGTAAAATCTTTATGCTCTAGACAGGGATTGCACACTTTTCTATAAAGGGTCAGATAGTCAAATATTTAGGCTTTGTGGCTCACATGCAGTGTCTGTTGCATCTTGTTTTGTTTTATTTTGAAAACAATTCTTTTAAGATGTAAAAATCACTCTCATCTGCCCCCTGCTCCTACCAGTGCCATGCAGAAAGGGGCCACGGGCAGGCTCTGCTCTAGTGGACAAGCTCCTGGTTATGACCGAGGCTCCTCGGAGAAATGGCTGCTTCTAAAGCGGGAGTGGGTAAGATGCAAGAGGAGCCCGGATAACTGTAGTGCCAGCACGTTAAGGAGGTGTGGGGAAAACAGCAGAGGACAGGCACGGCCCAAAGGCCCCGTGGGCAACTGGAAAGAGCTCCCAGGGCCAAAGCTAGAACAGTTTGAGCAACAAAATAATGATAATCCTGGGTTACAACCCCAGCATATAAAAGAAATATCTGTGAGTTCATCTCTATATATAAAAAGCCAGCAACCATAACGCTGTAACGACCAGTCGCTATGACGCCAGCAAACCACTTATCAGGGGGTGGGGCCGGCCAGCCAACCTCCCGAGGCCCCTCTCCCCAGCCACCCCGCCCCTGATCCGCCTCTCCCATGGGGCCAGCAGCCAACCTCCCTGTGGCCCTTCCCCCCAGCCAGTCCAGCCCCCAGTCGCCCCCTGTACCCCAATCGGAGGTGGGGCCAACTGGCCAATAGCCTGCAGCCCCTCCCCTCAGCCGGCCTCCTACTGTCTCTTCCTCCTGACAGGCCCAGCCCCGATCTGCTGATTGGGGCTGAGCTGGTCAGACCCCACCCATGCACGAATTCGTGCACTGGGCCTCTAGTAGCTGTATAAGTGAGGGGGGAGGAACTAATCTTCCTTGCAGAAGAATTACAAATAATAAATGTAGGAGTGAGGGAAATAGAAAATCACCATTGGAACATCATGGTATTAATGGCTGCAGGCAAGACGCAGTGACAGATAAGAAAATTAGTGTGTAGAACTTAAGGGGACACAGGATATTTGCCTAACCTCAAAGTGTCTCCACCAAATACTAATCACTGGTAGTTTTAACGTATGTCCATGAATTCTGTGATGTTCCTCCAGGAAGTACAGCTTACTCCCCTGTGAGGTGCACCTGACTTTCGGACCCACTTTTAAGGAATCGAGTAGTAAAGGAGACAGTGGTTACTTCCCAGTGGTAAAACCCGGCAGAAACCACCTGGGTCAAGTGATCAAGTTCACAGGCCCAGGAACAAGTCGTGCCAACATCTTGTGTCCTTGCTATGAGGTGATGAGAAGGGTCGTTCACCCTGTGCCAGTCTAGATTCTTCCGGCATATCTATAACCTCAGTCCAATCATGAGGCAGCCCACATGGAGGAACATTCTACACCGTAACTGGCCAGTACTCTCCAAAAGTGTCAAAGTTATGAAACACAAAGCCTGAGAAACATCAGTGGTTGGAGAAGACTAAGGGGCCATGATGATTAAATGCAGTGTTGGTAACCTGGATTGAATCTGGAAAAGTTAAAGGATATTAATGGGACACCTGGTAAAATCCAAATAAAGTCTGAAGTTCAGTTACTGGTGTTGTACCAATGTTACTGTCTTAGGTTTGATACGTGCACCGTAGAAACATAAGATGTGAATGTTAGTGGGAGCTGGGGAAGGGGCATGGGGACTCTGGATTGTCTCGAACTTTTCTATAAATCTAAGATGATTTCACAATAAGATTTTTAAACCCTAGCTTCTTATCTTGGGTTGGTTGTCATCTTTATCCTGAACATTTAAGCATTATTTTATTAACTCTTGGCCCCATTTATATTTGGTGGAAAATATATTGATTTGTTTATTAAAGTTGATTTTGGAATGTCTACGATATTAATATTACTTATTTCTCTTCCCAGGGGAGTCACCTGCTGCCGAAGTTTCCTCATCTTTTGTGATCCTATCTGTGTGCAGTTTCATTATATTAATCGTATTAATTGCAAATTGTGTATCCTGCTGTAAAGACCCAGAAATAGACTTTAAGGTGAGCACAGATGGTGGGAACATTCAAAATCATCCTCTGATACATTTATCAATAGGATGGCTAAATCTTACACTCCCTTGGGAGCAGGGGTGGGCAGACTTCTTCTGTAAGAACCAATACTAAATATATTCTGCCATTGTAAATAGTAAATACCATAGGCCATGCAGGATCTTGCACAGCTACTCAACTCTCAGCTCTGCCATCGAAGTGCTACATCAGCCATAGACAGCACAGAAACAGATGTACCAATAAAACTATAAAAATGGATAGTTTGGATTTGGCACGCTAGCTGTAGTTTGCTTGCCCTGCCTGAGAGCATTATTGACAATTCTAAGTTTTGAATGGGAGGAATAGAATGTGATGATTCACTTGCTATAAGAGTGTGTATTTGCTATAAGGCCTACAAGGAAGAACAGGCTGGTTTTGATTTTCCCCAAAACTTTTGTATGCTGGTGAGTCAGTGATTGTTGAGGCCAAGGGATCCCCTCGGGTGTTTCGTGTATGAGGAGAGCATCTTTCAGTTTACCTTGAACCCTACAGCTCCCTAAGTGGGGAGAAAGAAGAATGCTGCCAATTGTGAATGCTGCCAATTGTAAATACTGCCTCATATAGCCTCAGGTGGGTAGAAGGTTTCTATTGATTTTTAGAGAGGGAAAGGAGAGAGAGAAACATCAATGAGAGAGGAACATCATCAATTGGCTCCCTCCTGCCTCCTACTGGGGATCGAGCCCTCAACCCGGGCATGTGCCCTGACCTGGAATCAATTCATGATCTCTTGGTTCTTAGGTTGACGCTCAGCCACTGAGCCACATCAGCCGGCCACCCTCCCTGAACCTTAGAATCATCTGCTGCCTAATGGTGTATCATGCTGTGGCAAAGTCTTGAGTAGCATTATTTCTAAGGTGGGAGTGATGGATAAAGTTATTTTCAATGGGAGAACCTTTAGGAATGTCCGGAAGGAAAGTTGACACAGCTCTTTTGTTTGAAGGTGTACCTCACTTATTCTGCTTCCTGCTTCCCATTAGCAATGATGCCCTAATGCATATGACAACATATATGGCATATATGGAAGAATGCCCCCTCACATGCACGTGAGAACATAAATGCTCCATCAGAGGAATCTGCCCTTGCAGCTTTCAGTTTCTTCCTTATATGGAGGGCTGTGGGAGGTGGTAGAAAATGAAAAGAAGGTTGTTCTGTGAGGAATGGAAAGCAGTCTTGTTCACTCTGTTACGTGCTGGTGGTGTAATACTCTTTCATTACCTGAGGGAATGAATGACCTTGATAATCAGCTGTATCTGTGTTAACATGGACACCAAGGCAGACCCAGCTCGCTGATGGGAACAGGTAAGATAGCTTTCTGCTGAACAAAGTCACTTCAAAGGTTTCTGCAGCTCAACTGGGGCAGCTTCAGTTTTCAAGTTGCCATCTTTAGAAAACCGGATGTTCTTAGAATGTCAGCTGCACTTGTGTGCTACAGTTTTATACTGTAATCTTGGTGTTCAGATCTCAGATTATTTTCTACCTCGATTAATTTTTTATTCTACTCTTTTCAGATAAATAGGACTTGCCTAAAAATACCTTTTCTGAGTCTTTTAACTTCCTTGTTTTGATTAAAATCACATTGTAACCAGAAGTGCATATACAATTTTAAAATAAATTGTTTTGATTCAATATGCAAAAAGATCTATGAAAGTGAATAAGAAAAAAGAATAGCTTAGACCAGCGGTTCTCAACCTGTGGGTCGCGACCCCTTTGAGGGTCAAACGACCCTTTCACAGGGGTCGCATAAGACCATCGGAAAACACATATATAATTACATATTGTTTTTGTGATTAATCACTATGCCTTAATTATGTTCAATTTGTAACAATGACAATACATCCTGCATATCAGATATTTACATTATGATTCATAACAGTAGCAACATTACAGTTATGAAGTAGCAACGAAAATAATTTTATGGTTGGGTGTCACCACAACATGAGGAACTGTATTAAAGGGTCGCGGCATTAGGAAGGTTGAGAACCACTGGCTTAGACTATAATAACTTAGAAGTAAAATTTTGAACTTAGAAGAGTATTTCCATTTTAAGTTCCATGGTCATTATAGAAAACTAGAGGCCTGATGCATGAAATTCATGCACTCGGGGAGGTCCCTCAGCCTGGCCTGTGCCCTTTCGCAGTCTGGGACCCCTCTGGGGATGTCCGACTTACTGCTTAGGCCCGCTCCCCACTGTGAGCCCAGCTTCTGGCTGAGCGGTGCTCCCCCTGTGGGAGCGCACTGACCACCAGGGGGCAGCTTGTGCATTGAGTGTATGCCCTCTGGTGGTCAGTGCACGTCACAGTGACCAGTCGTTCCGCCATTCTGTCGATTTGCATATTAGTCTTTTATTATATAGGATTTTACATTTAACTTCAAGCTGTCAGTCTAAAGAGTTACATCATATATATATATATATATATATATATATATATATATATATATATATATATATATATATAATCAAGTCTTATTTATTCTGCTGTTTGGAGTTGGAGAACCCAAGTACATATGCTTTTTACTTGAAATAAGTGTGAATTGGGGGAAAATTATGGCCACATATTCCAAATGAGTGAATAAATGTTCATATCTTAAATGTTAGCCAGTGGTTTTAAGGATTTGCTCCCAAATTGACCTATAGTCACTATAACATTGCTCTTCTTTTATGTTAGGAATTTGAAGATAATTTTGATGACGAGATAGATTTCACACCACCAGCAGAAGATACTCCCTCCGTTCAGTCCCCAGCAGAAGTGTTCACACTTTCCGTACCAAATGTTTCACTACCAGCTCCATCCCAGTTCCAGCCTTCTGCAGGTAAGACCTTCGTGTTTTCCTGAGTTCTTTCTAAGAGGTGAGACTGGGAACCTTGCTGGGAATCATAAAATAATTGTACCTGCTGTCTCCTCTGGGGGCTTATTTTTCTTCCTTCTGCTCCCTGCTGAGGCTGAATGGTCAGGCCTATTGCATTCCCGCAAAAGCTGAGTGCTTTCCTTTGGACCCTGGATCTGTTTTAAGAATAAACTGGCCTCCTCACTTCATTAGAACGGAACTCTTGGACAGAGCTTCTGCCTTCTCTTTCTCTCTTTTTTTTTGTTAATCCTCACCCGAGGATATTTTTCCATTGATTTTGTGAGAGTGGAAGGGAGGGGAAGAGATAGATAGAGAAAAATCGATGTGAGAGAGACACATCCATTGGTTGCCTCCCGCACACAGATCAAGCCTGCAAGTGAGGTAAGTGTCCTTGACTGGAATCAAACCTAGGACCCGTTAGTGCAAGGGCCTGGGTTCTATCCACTGAGCCAGGGCTCCTGCCTCTTTTTCAGTTGACAAGCTTCTCTCCTAGTTCTCTGCCTGCTTGTCATGCTGAATGGACTCTGCTGTCTTCTGGGTGCCCTGTGTTTGGGAGGAGGGGTGTATTTGGATTTGTTAATCAGATGGACTTTGCACCCTAAGATAGGGAGGGACAGTCCCTGGGGTTCCCTGCTCCATCACGAAACAGGACTAACTAAAGGCCAGCAGGATGGTGACTAGAGGTTATAGTAGTGTAGTTGGGTCAGAAAAAAAAACAGTACAAGTTATTGGAGAATCAAGGTGGGATACTCAATTACAAAATATTGTCAGTTTTAAAACGTTTTGGCATTGTTAGTTTGAAAGATGTTTTATGTATTTGTTTCTCTCTTTATTAGCACAAGTATTAAATTTATGTTGGTGTTTGAACTTTATAGGTTGTATTTTTTAAATATTTTTTATTGATATTAGAGAGAGAGGAAGGGAGGGGGAGAGAGATAGAGACGTCATTGATGACAGAGAATCACTGATCAGTTGCCTCCTGCACGCCCCCTACTGGGGATCAACCCTGCAACCCAGGCATGTGCCCTTGACTGGGAATTGAACCACTGACCTCTTGGTTCATGGGTCGATGCTCAACCACTGAGCTACACCAGCTGGCTATAGGTTGTATATTTAATATTTAATTTATTTCAGTTAAATACCTATTTTTAGTTTTTAATGTTCTTTAATTTTTCCTACAGAAGGTTTGAAGTCTCAAGTTGCCCGCCACAGTCTAAACTATATACAGGAAATTGGAAATGGCTGGTTTGGAAAGGTAAAGTGTTGTTCACTTCTATTTTTTTCCTCCTACTTATACTGTTTAGAATTTAAGGCTAATAAGAATTGTATTGCGTGACATTCCACATTCTCTCCAGATGTTGTAGTCCTCATTGATTTTTCCCATTACCCTGTGAAACTGCATGGGAATGTGAGCTTCAACATTCCTGTGTGGTATGTTTTTCTAAGAAGGTCTTTTATTTTTATTTTTTTAAAATATATTTTTATTGATTTCAGAGAGGAAGGGGGAGAGAGAGAGGGAGAGATACATTTCAGTAATGAGAGAGAATCATTGATCAGTTGCCTTCTGCACTCCTGAGGAAGTTCAAGGGAGAAAGTGGAGACAGTGTATTTAGACAAGTCTGTAGAGGAGATTTACTCTAAAGCAAGCAGAGAAATGGAGTAGGAGACCTTTGGGACCAGCCAAGATGGTAGACAAGTGGTGTCATTACTGGACTCAGAGGACAAGTTGCAGACTTGTTGGATTAGACTGTTGAAGTAAGTGAGCTGGAAATCAAAGGACTGGCAGAGAAGAAGTTAAAATTCAAGGTTTGGGACATACTATATTTATTAATTAGCTAGGCATAGACTCATGGGGGTGTTTGCTGAGATGAGATCGTAGGAAAATGATTATTGGAAGTGAGATCAAAGAACTGAGAGGTTGTGGTTTTGAAGGACTTGTCCCTGCATCTATTGAACATCAAGAATGGTAACAGTGGTGGCGGGGAGAGAAATAATGAGCCAGGTTATTGCAATAGCATACTATCATTCTTCCCCTTTTTGAAATTGATACCTTATGGTTATTAGTCTTATAGAATACTAGAGGCCCAGCGCACGAAATTCTTGCACAGGTACGGTCCCTAGGTCTGGCCTGCAATCAGGGCCATCTTCCCCAGCTGCCTGCAGCCGGCTCCACCCCCTGCCGCTACTCAACCCCGGTTCCCCACTCGCCATTGGGTGATCGGTGCCTGACGGCCAGGGGAAGGGACCAAGAGGTGGTCAGTGTGCTTCATGGTGACTGGTCCAGCGGTAGTTCTGGTCATTCTGCTGTTAGTGTCAATTTGCATATTACCCTTTTATTATATAGGATTGGCACAAGTTGGCTCTTTGAAACAAAAAAAATATGACTTTGTTAATTATCAGAATTTCTTGTTCTGTTCATGTTTCTGCCCTTATATTCCTAATAAAGACATTAAATTCTGTTTTAGTATATGCTCTCTCTTTCCAGGGCATTAACATGAATCTATTTTATAAAAAGATAAAATAACTTCTAAAAGCCAGCCTTTAGTTTTGATCATTCTCAAATTAAATAAAAACTTTTACTTCATCATCATTTTTACTTTAGACTAGAGGCCTGGTGCACGGGATTCTTGCACTGGTGGGGGGCGTGGCATCTCAGTCAGCTGAGCGGCTATGGACCCGCCCTCTGAGCGGCTGCTCCCTGGTCCGGCATCTTTCATGGAGCCGGAGCACTCATCTCTCCAGAGGACCCGGTTGGGGCTGGGCCCAGGGACAATAGCACTGAGAGGCGGCGGAGTAGGCCTCAGTCCCACGGTGGCCACAAACTCACCTCCCAGCCTCTGGGGTCAGCTTTGCAAGCCTGGTGGTGGCACTGTACAGCCTGCGGGCATTTGGAGGAGGCGGCAGGGAGTGAGGAGGAGGAGCCTGCGATGATCGCAGCCCGGGTTCCTGCCAGTCGGTCCGGGGGTTGCAGCGGGAGCAACCGCTCATCACAGTCAGCCAAGCGATGCTCCCACTGTGGCAGCCCACTGACCACCAGGGGGCAGCTCCTGCGTTGAGCGTCTGCCCCTTGGTGGTCAGTGTGCGTCATAGTGACTGGTCAACCGGTTGTGTTCTGGTTGTTCTGCCATTTGGTCGCTGGCTTTTATTATATAGGATATTATATTTTGGAACGCCTTAGCATTATCTTATATTACATTTAATATTTCATGTGTAACTTATTTTCATTCTCATTTAGTTTTCTATTGATTTCAGTGCTATATTCCCTCCTGCACTGAGTTTTGATTAAGATTTTAGTACAAGACAAGGGCCTGGAATAGTGGGAATGCCATGGATTTTTAGCATTGTAATGCGGTGATCATTTGTTTGTACATTGGCTCTTTGTCAGTTTACTTTCTCTATGTGAGGGACAAAAATAAAAAAACTCATCTGAAGTGTTTTTGAGAAATATTTAAGTTATGTTTGAACTGAACTTCCAGATTACTCTTCTCTAATACCATTGGAAATTTCCATGAAAGTAAAATACATTTTTAAGTAAGTAGAAAAGAGATACACATAAATTTATGAATATTGTAAATATCTAATGAATGGTTTAAAACTGAAGGTTGTATTTTACTTTTCCAAGCTTTTTGTGAAGTAGTATTTAAAATAATAGAAGGCCATCTGCCTGTTGCTGAATTTGTTTTCCTGTATTCCATTTCCTAATAAATGAGACACACTTCTTTACCATTTTGTTGGAAGTGAAATGAAAACCTGTTCTTTGGTTTTAGGTCCTCCTTGGAGAGATTTACACAGGCACTAGTGTAGCAAGAGTAATAGTGAAGGAGTTAAAAGCAAGTGCAAGCCCAAAGGAACAAGATACTTTTTTGAAAAATGGAGAACCGTATTAGTAAGTAAACCTTAATGTATGTTCTGTAAACGCAGTGTGTGGTCTTTTGAAAATCACGTGTTTAAAAGTACTTTGTAATTACATTGTAAAGTATATAAATGTTGAATCACTATATTGTACACCTGAAACTAATACTGTATACCAACTATACTTAAATTAAAAAAACAACAAATCTAAAGGGAGCTATAGAACATGAGAGTTCCTAGTCAGGAAAAGGATAGCATTGTAATTCCAAAAGCAAGAACTAGAGCACGATTGTCAAGGTTCTTGGCAACAAATTGATTTTGTGGCCCTAAGGGAGAATGAAAGATTGAGATTTGTCAGCCAGGCACAGGGGACCTCAAAGGAAACTGACATTGATGTCACAGGCACATCTGCTCGTCCTGCTTATTCCACTGCATGTCATGTTGTGCACCTGTCATGGATAACGAAAATGAACTCATTTAGGAAATCTCTCTCTCTATCTCTGTATGGACAGATTGCAAAACTTCATCCGAGGAACAATATTTTAAATATATCACTTAAGTTTTTCGGCGGCTGTAAGCTTGCGAGGTCCGGCCGGCTGAGGACGTCGGATCCATTGCCCTCCCAGCGCTTCGACCCTTCCCTGAAGGCTCTTAATAAAACAGATTGTTCCTACAAAAAATAAAATAAAATAAAATAAAATAAAATAAATAAATAAATAAATATATCACTTAAAATTACAACATTGTTAGATCTAAGAATATTTTATCTACCAAATAAGTTTGCTTTTGTGTAAACCAAAATATTTTTTAAGGCCCCCAAAAACTAAACTTTGAAATTTCTCTTTGCAAAATACACAATTTAAATGAGATCCAGAGTCTCATAACAAGACTCAAAATGAAAATGTGTCACAGTAGGTGAATGCTTAAACAAACTGATACTCCATACCAGGGACTACTCAGCAATAAAAAGGAATAGTATATAAGGTAGATGCCTAGAAGTAGCTGGGCTATTTAGTATGTGGATTGAAATGCTTATTGATACAGGCAACAACTTGGGTAATCTTGAGGGCATTATGTTAAGTGAAAAAGTCCATCTTAAAAGGCCACATACTGTATGATTCCATATAGGTAATATTCTCAAAATGAGAACATCATAGAAATGGAAAACAGATTAGCTGTTGCCAGGGCTTGGGGAGGCAGTGGGGTGGCTTAAACTGACCCAGGGTAACTTGGGGAAGGTCTGTGTGGTGATGGAGCACTTCTGCATTTCTGTTGGGTTGGTGGTTTGGTGGTTGTGGGAATCTACCCATGTGATAACAGCACACACACGTACACACATGGGTGCTGTGTCAGTGCCCTGGTTTTGGTACTGCACTGTGGTTGTCAGATGTAACCAGGGGAAACCAGGCGAAGGAAAGGTGGGACCTCTTTATACTACCTTTGCAACTTATTGTTAAGTCATGATTGCTTCAAAATAAAAAGCTTTTTAAAAAGCTATTTTGGCATATCTTTTTTTATAAACCTTCTTTTGGACAAAATATTTTCCAGAAAAGAGTTTGCATATGTTATGGAAATATATGGAAATACTAGTAGTATATAAGGTAGATAGCCTAGGAGTAGCTGGGCTATTTAGTATATGGATTGAAATGCTTATGAACTTTATATATTTGCCCTGCCTTTTTAAAAGTGCTACTTCAAAATGGTCATCTATAAATTAAAATTACTAAAATTAGAGATTTTGAAAATGTTCACCTGATTACCTTTGAATTATTTAATCATTAGGTAACAATCAATCTGTTAATGAGTTCTTTTCAGCTTATCCTATTTAAATCATGATGAATGTTAAAATGTGGTTACTGTTTGAACAGTGTTACTCGCGTGCTCTCTGATGAACGTACTGTGACTGTTTTTCCCCAGTATTCTTCAGCATCCGAATGTTCTTCAATGCGTCGGGCAGTGTGTAGAAGCGATTCCCTACCTTCTGGTGTTTGAGTTCTGTGACCTGGTAAGTTTTTAGTAGAAATTCACGTCAAGCATGCAAGAGGTTTGACAGATAGAAATGCTGGAGGAGGGGCAGCTTTCGCTTCTGTCCTCCATATTAAGAACTTAATGAAGTATTCATTCATGACCTTTGATAATAGTATTAGTGTTATTTTATGCTTCATCCCTCTGCTAAGCTATTCTTATGCATTGCTTATCTAATCATATTTCTCTCTCTCTCTTTTTTTAATCCTCACCTAAGGATATTTTTTCTAATGGCCACTCATCTATCGATATGCACTTGGGCTGCTACCAAATCTTGGCTATTGTAAATAATGCTGCAGTGAAATAGGGGTGCATATATTCCTTTAAATGACTATTTTAGGTTTCTTTGGATATATTCCCTGAAGTCCCATTTTTAGTTTTTTGAGAAAACTTCATACTGTTGTCCACAGTGACTGCACCAGTCTGCATTCCCACCAACAGTGCACGAGGGTTCTCTTTTCTCCATATCCTCGCCAACAATTGTTTGTTGCTTTATTGGTGATAGCCATTCTGACAGGTTTTAATTTGCATTTCTGTGATGATTAGTGAAGTTGAGCATCTTTTCATGTCTGTTGGAGAAGTGTCTATTCAGGTCCTTTGCCCATTTTTTAATTGTATTATTTGGTTTTTTTGGTGTTGAGTTATATAAGTTCTTTATGAATGTTGGATGTTAACCCCTTATCAGATATATCATTGGCAAGTATGTTCTCCCATTCAGTGGGTTGGCTTTTCATTTTGTTGACGATTTCCTTTGCTGTGCAAAAAGTTTTTAGTTTGATATCGTCCTATTTATTTATTTTGTTTTCCTTACCTGAGGAGATATACAATATTAGAAAAAATATTGCTACGAGAAATGTCTGAGATTTTTCTGCCTATGTTTTGTTCTAGGATTTTTATGGTTGAAACACATATTTTATGTGACTCTCCTCAGCCATATTGGGAGAATGTTACTCTTGAAAGCTGAACATCTGGAAAGAGCTCCCATCTCCTCCCCCCACCCCCAAGCTGTCATAGGCAGGACAGAGCTAATGGCTATTTCAGTTAAGTCCACCATCTAGTGATACATTGATCAACAATCCTATATAATAAAAGCCTAATATGCAAATTGTCCCCTCGACCAGGAGTTAGACCAGGGGGCGGGGCCAGTGGCAGTGGCAGGTGGCTGGGAGAAGGGAGGTGCCCCTGGCCAGCAGCCGCTAGGGACCCTACCTGTGCACTAATTTTGTGCACTGGGCCTCTAGTAAAATTTATAAAACAGTAGTTACTTCTCAAAAAATTAAAATGGAATCACCATGTGATCCAGCAATTTCACTTCTAGGAACATAGAATTGAAAGCAGGATCTTAAAGAGATTTCCATGCACCCATTTCACAGCAGCATTATTCACAATAGCCAAGAGGTAGAAGCAACCCAGGCGTCCATCAATGGTTGAATAATGAACAAAATTGGTTATATCCGTACAATGGGATATTATTCTAATGTGCTAAGTGAAATAAGCCAAATCACAAAAAGACAAATACTGTATGATTCCACCTATATGAGGTATCTAAAGTAGTCAAACTCAGAGACAGAAAGTGGAAGGGTGGCTGCCAAGGGCTGGGAGGAGGGGGATGGGGAGTTGGTATTTAGTGGGTACGGCGTTTTAGTTTGGGAAGATGAAGAAAGTTCTGTTGGTTGGATAGTGGTGATGACAGTTACACAGCAGTGTAAATGGATGTAATGCCCTTGAACTCTGCACTTAGAAATGGTTAAGATAATTTTATATTATGCATTTTACCACAATTCTTTTTTTTTCTTTTCTTTTTAAAAAATATATTTTATTGATTTTTTTACAGAGAGGAAGGGAGAGGGATAGAGTTAGCAACATCAATGAGAGAGAAACATCGATCAGCTGCCTCCTGCACACCCCCCACTGGGAATGTGCCCGCAACCAAGGCACATGCCATTGACTGGAATCGAACCTGGGACCCTTCAGTCCGCAGGCCGACGCTCTATCCACTGAGCCAAACCGGTCATGGCTTACCACAATTCTTAAAACATTGATAATTACCCACTATTATTTAAGGTCCTATACTCTGTGTTACCTATACTAGGAGGAGGCAAGAAATTCCCAGATTTCCTTGGGAAATCTATCTGTCAGTACTTGGAATGGCTAGTCTCATGTCAAAATAAAGGCCTTTAACCCAGGGATCCTGCCAGGGTGCCCAGTAGTGAGAGGTCACATTTGTCTCCTTGGGCAGTTTCGTGCTCATCACCTCTAGGCCCTAGTCAACTTCAGAAGCTCTCCTGCAGCAAGGACCAGGGCCTCCACGGTCACTGGCCCTGAGGTCTCGGTCTCTACGCTCGGTTTGCAGAGGCTCAGTGTCAGGAACGGTCAGGTGGGGTCAGCCCGGTGAGCCAGAGAGGGCCTGCCTGAGCGGAGGGGCGCCACCAAGGCCAAGCCGCCCAGCCTGGGAACAAGCAGCTGCAGCACAGTGAAAGGAGCCACTATCTTCACATGTTCTCAGTAGGTCAGGAGCTATTGGATGAGCACTGGCCTTTCAGTTGTCACCAGGCACTGATCATGCTCAGTGATAACATCTTTTAAGTAGAAAGGAGAGAATATTTTTGCACTTACTTAATTCCTTGTAAGATAGAATTACCAGCTTGTTTTTCAAAAACACTTTATCTTAGGATTTTATGAAAGAAAATGAAAACACTTCTGAGTGAATTTGGCAGCTGGACCGCAGCCACTGATTTGTGATGCTGGTGGTGCGGTGTTTATGAAAGGAGCCCTCACTGCGGGGCGTTGTCTGTGATTTGTTGCCATGGCAAGTACACAGGGCCATCAAGTGAACAGGGAGGCAAGGAGATTGCTTTTTGGGTAAGGATCACTCATTCAACAAAAACATATCAAGCATCTATTAAGTACAAAGAGCTGGGCAGTGCCCTGGGGACCCAGAGGTGAGTCACCCCGATCCCTGCCTTTTCTGCCTGTAGAGCCAGGCGGGCCTGCTTCAGATGCTCATTCTGCCACTTCCTTGTGTATCACCTTGAAAAGTTACCTAAACTCCTTAAGCCTTACTTTAGACATCTGTGAAGTGGGGATAATACTGCCTTCCTCACAGGCTACTCTCACCGTTAATAAGATTATGAACGTAAATTGTTGGGCTTATAGTAAGTGCTCAGGAAATGTAGGGTTTTTTTTTTCATTTTTAGTTACTTAAATTCATTTATCATAATCATCGAGTAAAGATTTGAGTAGTGTGTGTAGAAGAAATCTAACTGGAGCCATTGGGGAAGGCTTGGCCGAGGAAATGTGTGTGATCTGAGTGTGAAAGAGTGAGTGGATTGACTTCCTTGGCACAAAAGGGTATCAGGAACAGCACGGGCCGGGCCCAGCGGTTGGGGGGGGGGGGGGGGGCAGCGGACGCTCCTGCGGGCTGCAGAGTCTAGGCGGCGGGTGAGGAGAAGCAGGTTGGCATCTGCTGGGAAAGATCAGTTGGATGAAAAGCAATGACACCACTGGGGAGACCAAACTGCAAGTTGAGGTGATAGAAGGTCGTAGGTTACACTTGGCTCTTGTCTTCGTCTTTCTCCCTTCCCCAGGCCTGGCTGCTGCCCTGGGCCCGTGGCGCTGGCTCTTTGCTGGCAGGCTGTCCTGACTGCTTGTGTCCAGGCCGTCCTGCCCTCCGGACGCCTGCTTCACTCCACCCTGGGTTTGCTGAGGCTGGTTACTCTGTAGCAGGCTCTGTGTCCTCCCTCATGTCACAGGTCCTCACTGCTGGGGCACCGAGGTGCACACCTGGAGTTGATGTGTCGGGTGAGCGCGAGGGGAAACTGTTCTCTCTAGGAATCTGATGCCACTAGAACATTTAAACTTACACGTGTGGCTGGCACGTTCCAGTTGCGCAGCTCTGCCCCATGTTGTGTCTGGAGAAGTACAGTATGAGGTTCAGGTGTACTCTGAGTTTTAGAACAGTCCACACTCCTGTTCTTGAAGTAAAATCTGTTACATTTCCTAGTTAACAAAGATAAAACTTTCAAACAGAATCAGTTAGATTTTACTTAAAGTAAAATACTTTCCATATTGCCTCTTTTTGCTAGCTTTAATGTGAAAAATAATGAAGTAATAAATATTAAGCCCAATAAAATGTTGAAACTAGAGATTTTCTCCTAAATTCATTATTATATTGTTAAGTTGAAATATGATGGACTGCTTTGTGGAAAATGATTGTCTCAACTTTGATTTGGGAGAACGTCTTTTAAAACTCCTCAGTAAGTTTTTCTTTTCCCCTCACTCATTAAGCAATGATATCCACATTAAGCAATGATGTCCCTCGATATCCACAGGGGATTGGTTCCAAAGTCCGCCCAGATACCAAAATCCACAGATGCTCAAGACCCTTATGTACAACTAGTAGCCCGGTGCACGAAATTCATGCACTGGGGTGGGGGCGGGGAGGGGCCCCTCAGTCTGGCCTTCACCCTCTCCAATCTGAGAGGTGGTGTCATTGCTTTTCATCCAACTGTCCTCAAGCTCTGAGACCCCTCAGGGAATGTCCAACTACCTGTTTGTGCCCACACTTTTAACAGATAACAGCTCCATTGTTGTTCCTTTCTTATGCTTAAAACCATTGGAATTAGTAGGTATTCAAAGTGTGTATACATTTTGGGGGGACACCCTGTATATCTCTAGTCAGTGGTGAAAGAAACCAACAGCAGATTTGGAACCCCCAGACAGGGAACCTTGCTCATTCCCCACATGTCTCCCCACTTCACTTTCCACCTTCGTGGGCAGCAGGAGAATCAATGTTTTCTCTCATTAATTCGGAAAAGCACATCCTGTTACCCGTTGCCTGGCAGGAGTGCACTAGGCCCCAAGCAAGCTCAGTCAGGGCAGCCTTCACTCATGGGTGCTGGCACCCAAAGTGCACATTCCTCCTCTACAGTCGCCCTGACTATCCCACTGTTTCACTGAGAGGACGGAATTCCTCTCCGC